CATTTCGTTACCATTCATGTCACATTGAGCTTTGTAACAATACTGCATTTCGTTACAATTTATGTCACATTGAGCTTTGTAACAATACTACATTTCGTTACCATTTATGTCACATTGAGCTTTGTAACAATACTGCATTTCGTTACCATTTATGTCACACTGAGCTTTGTAACAATACTGCATTTCGTTACCATTCATGTCACATTGAGCTTCGTAACAATACTACATTTCGTTACCATTCATGTCACATTGAGCTTTGTAACAATTGTACATTTCGTTACCATTCATGCCACATTGAGCTTCGTAACAATACTCCATTTGGTTGCCATTCATGTCACATTGATACGCGTTTGTGACATCACAACTGACATACCTGACTGATCTCCTTGTCATATAAGAACCAATATGTAATCTACACGTCTACATTACAGTACAGTACATTACATTACAGTATATTACATTACATTACATTACATTACATTACATTACATTACATTACAGTGTCCCTACGTTATCGGACATGATAATTTGAATAAACCATAGCATAAAAAGTGTGTTTAGTTTTAATTAGTGGAAACACGGAATTCATTCTGTGTACTACACTGGGGTACTGGTAATCATTTGTATGATGGCTTTATCGACAAGCGTCCAGTACGAGTAGTTGGTCACATGTGTTAGTCATCGAATTGGTATGTCATCAGGACAAGTCACTACTTTATCAACATAAATAATGACCAGTTGTCTCGTGTCAAGCTTTACGTAGTTTAGTTTCGCTTTCTGTTTCCTTTTTATAATACACATTCTCTATAATCAGTGATACTGAAACATGCGTGATTTAAAAGCCGTACACAACTGCGTATAATAGCAGTGTTCCAACCCAGTCATGCCTCGCATTATGTAGGCTCTAGAGGTTACACTGCTCTGATTGCGCCTACTACTTTCTGACGTTTAAACAAATGACACACATTCTGACAGATTTGACGTGATTTGCGACATTTCCGACACTTCTGCAGAGAGAACTCAATGTTATACAGTCAGTTTGTGTAACGTAATTCACCCCGTCTCCTAACATTAACGACTCACGCATGTAACAAACTACATAATTCACGAGACGAACAGTGCAGTATATTATATACCTATTATATCCTTCCATGTCCTGAATTGAATAACCTAACTATATTCGCCAATAGCAAGCGAAGCCCATGCTTAGAAGCAATTGCTCACTGTGGAAATGTACAAGCTATATCTGTCGGTCTCTTCTCCTAGTCCTAGGAAGGTGTAGCAAATACGGGGATAGTGTTATTGTGCCATGAGTGATCGCTAAGACATGTAAACAATTATTTACTTTCAAGTGGCAAAGAAATGAAAACCAAATGAACGTGTATTTTTTTTTTATAAAACGTAAATATTTATTTATATTCCGTTTCTGAACCCACCTTACAAATTACCGTTACAAATATTGCCAATAATAAATAAATAATAATTGAAAATATGAAATATGATATCTCGTCAATATATACTTTTACACGGTGTAATAAACCTGAGCTTTCAAATAGATACATGTACTGTGATTATTTCCCAGTTTTATGTATCAAGTATTTAGTAAATACTGAAATCAAATGACCTAGAAACAAATTAGTAAACGGTGCAATTGACTGTCAAATGGCGTATAGGTATGATAATTACATAATGCATAGTCGGAAATGAATTTCAATCTTCGTTGAAACAAACATAATAATCAAGCAGTATAGATACGAGTTGGCATGTGCATAGCCAGCTGTCTAGGTATACAAATGTCATTTGGCTCAAAAAATTTTTAAAAAATGCAAACGACGCAGCAAATGTTGCTTTAACCGCTAATTGCAGTTTTACAGTAAAGTTTCGGTATGTATAAAGTATATAAATATAGTTTATCTTAAGTAGACCGCATGCCTGTTGTTTACACAAGTGGGCACTCACGTAGCCTGTGGAATTTAGTGTGTCTTCTATTTTGTCTGGGTTGTTTTGGTTGAGATGTAAAAAGTCGAGACCCATACTTTGTTGACTAATTACATGTAAGTAGAATTCACATGGCATTAGTACATAACACCGTACTATTCAATATTCATTACATCAAGGCATATTCATTTTCAGTTGTATGTATAGATAGACATGTTTTTATGTATATTCTTACATAGACTCTATAGACTTCGTGATTCTTAGCATTGTTTGGTTGAGATTATCTTATTGAATATAAGTTCTCGTGCATATTCTTTCCACGCTGCATAAATTCCCGCCCGTCTCTAACAATACTGACACATTAAGACTGAAGAGTGTTTCTGAAAGCATTGAAGCGTTCACTCTGGTATTGACAGTGTCATGTGATGACAATTAAACGACATTGGCATTCCAAAGCACAACGCACACACAGGTCAACAGCCATAAATTCAGGATTATAAAATGTTAACTACCGTAAACTTCCCATGCTTCGGGCGGTTTAACTTATAATTCGTCAACATTCAAGAAATATCACATTGTTGGGGGCTTTCAATGAATTCAAGACGTGTCTGATAGTTGAAAATGCAATGTGGATAAATTGGAGTATTTTGGGCATGTTTAAAAAGGTTAGATTGATATTTTTACAAAAAAACAATATTATATGATTTATTGTAAAATAAAAATACTGTTTTGTCAGAAATTATTATTATTCGTTCGATTCGATAACGGCGAACGCGGCGCATACGTCCCGGATTTACCTATACGTACAGGTAACACGAAGCGCATGCGCACTGGTGTTTTCATTATTCAACCTAGCGAATCTATTATATTTGATGCCAATACAACGTTTTCATTTTACGATAAATCATGATATATTATGTTTATGGAGATGAAATCCATCTAAAATTGTATGACTCTTTCCAGCAAAATGGACGCATAAGCATAAAGCATAGAAAAAAGTGGAATACTTATTTCCAAGAGACCCCTACCGTGACCATTTCTCCAGATATCAACTAAGTCTAACCAAATAAATTTGGGTGCAAACCAATTTTCATGATTGCATAAATCTGTTGTCTGTCGCCCTGTATTGTGACACCGTACATGTACATTGTAAAAACATGTAAATAAATTAATTATTGTAAACAAATTGCACAATCAATGCTCAGTGTGCTACTCCTAAAGTTCTTGTTCGAGTCTATATGCCCGGCATTAACAAGTTTGTCTGCTTCAATGTCCTGTCCCTCGCGCAGACAATTGAAATGATTCGATGAAAATCTTTTAAACAAAACTCATTTGAGTACGCCATATTACTTGTGGTTGTGAACAATCTTTACAATGACGTCAAAACCGTCCAATAACTTGACACGTCGTCAAGATAAAATCTAATTACAATCTAGTCTGGGTAGTATTCAAAGCGACCACAGTCTTAACCTATATCTGGCATCAATGGCCAGAATAGTGTTGCATAGATAGATTTCATGAGTATTATTTAAGTTTAAAAACATTCACAATTACAAAAAGTGTACAAAATATTTACATATTGAGCTAGCACATTATACGTATATTTCAAGGTCAATAAAAGTTAGAAATATATAATTCTTTAAATATATTTAAGTGATATATTACTCAAAAATAATCTCCCGTTGACGCTAAAACTTTGACTTCCGTTGGTTCATTTGGAGTTCTTGTTCTCTGCTTTTCACACCTTTCTTCGTCGTCATCAGGCTTCAGCGTCAAACGCAACCAGTCTTGAATTCGTCGATGAACGTCTTTATCGGTCAACCTGCTCGAGACACCAAGATCGTGTGCGATTTGTTTTGAAGTTCGGTTTGCGTCGCTCTCCTTCGTTTCAGTCTCGATGTCAAGGGAACTGATCTCGTCTTGCAGCATTCTAATGAAAACAAAATCCTTTTCGCCATTGCTCCCGGTCGAATTGTCAGATATGGAGCTGTCACACGCCGAACTTTCAGAGAACGATCCGCTGCCGCCACTGGATCGCGAAGCAATGGTCGACATAGCATCGCAGTCCATTGAAAAGGTCCGCTCGTAAATTGGGGTTCTCGGCTGGGACTTTTTTCGGAATTTGAAATAGCGGGGATTATTGATTTCGTCTATTTCCGAGGTGGCTCCAGACACATAACGCAAAGGTCTCACAACATGTGCCTTTGGTACAGCATCAAACATACTGGGTTCTGGTTCAACAGGTGGTTCCCCGGTGGGAGAGTTGGACGCTTCAAGCCCCGCTTCAAGTTGGCCGCGGCTTACGTCTTTCGCAAAATATGCCGGAGTTCGTCTCCGGTCTCGAGAGATTCGTACAGACGCACCTTGTTCCCCAGACCCTTCCAGTATCACCGAATAAACATACTCGCTACTGGGGTGAGACTGGGGATTCAATTCGGCAGACGATTTAGAAGATGTCGTTTCCGAGCCAGAAGAGTTCAAACGCATCTGTGACTCCAATCTTCGCCTTTCTCGCCTTTTCCGGTGATGACGTTTTCGCTGTAAATTTTCAAACACCCGTAACAGCGTTCGCAACAACCAGTAGGTTATCAATTGTGCAATCTTCCGTTTCTCGCACAGAAAAGCATGGCACTCGAACAGGCTGCTGTCTGGGTCGGAGTCCGTGCGTGTTATCACAGCGAACACACGAGGATACTGGGCATCCGCTATCCCGTAACACACTAGGTGAATTGGTATGATAACATGTTTTTCCTTGCCGAACGGGCCATGACAGTCCATGAAATAGAAACCTTTTGGTGATATTGTCAGTGCTGTTTTTGGCAATTTCTGTTTTTCACGCAGTTTACATAATGTTTCCACTGGCTCAGTGACGAACTCTTTCCCAAATTCCCCCTTGGCGGGCATTTTACCAAGGTACTGCACCCAAAACGTCGGACAGTTTTCTACTGGGTGTCGTTTGACTTCTTTAGGAGGCACGGCCAGTCCGCTCTCCAGAAGCCGCAGTTGGTCCCCCGATTCCTTCTTCTTCTTCAAGAGTGCTTTTGACGCCATAGCGTCAAACATAAACATTCAAAACAACCATCCAAGTTGGCAGCGACACACACTTTCTGAACTCTATCGACACCACTTTTCACCGATGTTTCTCACAGTGTCACTGTAATAATGGCTGGCAGTTCTTTGGTGACGGCAATGCAAATCAATGATGATTATGCAAACACTGTCACAATGGCGAAGTCCACTGTCCACACTATGTAGGCTTCCATTCATCCATGTAAAAAGTTAGAAAAGATTGGTATGTACAGGTCGTAATCATTGTTCACTTAAGTGAGGCCCCAACACAGGTACGCCGAAGCTGTAAACAATTAGCCTTCGGGGGCCGGTCGGGGACTGAATTACCACACCTGCTGAACTGAAAACGGTGAAGTTTTCCCACGTTTACATTCTTAGCCAGTCGGTCATCAGACTCGGTGTACGCTTGCTTTGACGAATGTCGGCTAAACGTTGACTACTGTGGCTAAATAACGATACACATACCCACACACCGAAGTCTCGAGTTCTGCTCGTCAAATTCGACCTTTGTCCTCAGTTAAAAATAGTCACAATGTCTAAGTACTGAGAACTAGTGCACGATATGCCTTTAAGAGGAACGAAGTAAATATAAAGCAATGTTTTCGTTACGTGATAAACCAGATCAAAATAATATGTAACTTCACAACTAAGGAATTTCGGAAAATGAATATACCAACAAACAATCATGGGTTGTGTCAGGCGAAAACAAAGGTGTATTGTTTCACTTACGTTATACCGTCTGAAAGCACGCCTCTATTATTTCAATCCTTCTACCCAGGCAGTAACCCGTTGTCTATTCAAGCAGAAAACTACATTTATTGAACCTGAACACAAATCTTACTTTTCCCCATCATGATAACCACGACGTTTTGTTCTATGTTTGTTTTCCGCCTTTGTTTATACATACCAAGATCTAGAATTATACAAAACATCCGAACTTCGCTGTGTTCACACCTTATGACCATATTACGAGAATAGAATTGCCGATTTGAATTACGATTAAATGACAATCTTTCAATTTGAGCGTATTTCACGCACAACCTCTACTAAGGTAAGTCACAGTGGATTCGTTGCCCCAGACTTCCACCATTTTATAAATAGGAAACGATCTGAGAAAGGGGAGACCTGGTTCATCTTGCAAGGGCAACAAGTATGACGTAGGTTATACTCCTGCTACTGTACTTTATCAGTAAAGCTGAATCTACTTCGTCAGAGTTCTACGTGCTTTCATAGCAGACCAATACGTATGCCAGACTAAGCATATATGTCGTGCCATCGTAGTAATGTAGAATTTTTAGCTTAAAGCGAGGTGTGGATGTTAGAAACCATGCACGTGTTTCCCTTATATGATCTTGAACTAAACGTAATTATTGATTTTGAGAAACTCGTCATGTAGTGTTCGCTTCGATGTATGAATACTTAAACAGAGATTTGCATGGCTAATATTTACCTCAACGTCTTTTTTGTTAATAAATATGTCATCAGTGAACTTATTCAAGATATCTTCGAGTGTGTTAAAAAGTGTCGAGGTCAGAATGATGTTTTCAGCGTTGGCGCCCGACGCTGTCATTTCCCTCTAAAAAGGGTACATGTCGATACTGTATTTATAAGACTACTCGTTCTATTATACTTTATAAAGTTATAGATTATATCGATGTGGTAAATAAATGCAGTACTCCATAAGTTAGTCAGTTATATAATCTTTAAATAAAATAAATCCGAGAAGTTTTTCGAAAAGAGTGGTGCATGAAGAGTGGGTGGTATGAAGTTAGTCTTTATTAATTAAAACAATAATAAACTCCAATATTGGATGAGTAGAAGCCTGAAGGCTTATGGCAAGATAATGGCAACATTATTGCGTCTAGACTCTTATTTACTTAAGAATAGAGATTTACATTAAAGGGGAACCGCTCAATCCCATGGATTGCACCAAAGAATCATGGGACACTATTGTTTATGTTATTTACAATGTTAATCTATCTTTTGTTATCCATTGTTATTTTAATCCAGAAAGTAAATTTGTTGTGAAATTAATCTTAACTGGAAGGTGCCCCTTAATGTATGTTAATGTAAAGCCATGACGTCTAAAAGCTCTAATTCTGATAGTGGTGATTTATAAGAGATAAGATACTGTTAACAGCAGAATAAACATCGCACAGAACAAGGGGATGCTTATATGTTGAAGAGGGGTGACCCGCTTGTGTTTTTGCACGACCGTTTAGTAACCGACCTGCTTTGGGTTTTTCTCTTCACACCAATGGTAACAATCATTACAATCTTTGTTTGTTAATGCATATTTACATACAATGTGCACTCAGTACGCACGCTAGAAATGGTTCGATGGAATACTATACTACACAAATGAGCATGCGCGTTGAATTGATAGTACACAGTCATATAATTAGTTTATGTCCGACCAAAACAATGTCACATCACCGTTCTATGCAGTTAAGAATTATCAACAATGTTTAATGTGCGCGAATTTTGACCACGATCTGCAAACACTGGCAGATTATTACTTTACATCGGTCGAAAATTAACAAAATTATAAAATTTGACTTGTAGATCTTGAATGTGGATTTGAGAGTTCAAAACATTGGAAGAATTTGGATATGGTATGGTCAGCGTCTAACCACATACATGTACCGGAACCCATGGCTATCAAGTGATTGCATTCCGATGTAGCTAGACGCAAATCGCAATCAGGATGTTCTGATGTGTCAGCCAATTAGAGCGTACCTTACCAAAGAGCAATTTACACGCGATCAAAGTCACTACCTACATTAAACTGTAATCAAATTACACACAACATGATTAAAGCGGAGGAGTCGTTACCTGCGCATGCTACAGCTGGCCATAGCCTGTCAATGTTTACAAACAAGCGTCTACCCATGAGCCTTTGCGTTTTTAGCGTGTGTTGTTATCGTCGCTTGGGACTCAATTCCCGCGCGTGCGCAGTTGACGACCCTCCTGCTTTAATACACTCGAGTTCTTTTTACAACCAACCCTCCGCTTACGACATAACGTCACTTCCAATGCCCGGTAAATAACATGGCATTGGTGGCGTGTTAAACTCTCCCCACTGCTACGTGAATCGTTAAATTATAGACAACATCTGGTCACACCAGACAGATAAAAAACATCTCTGAAATAATCATGCAATAATCGTATCAATTTACCTCCAACATTTATTTTATTAAATCGGTCTAAAGTGTCATTTAATAAATTTATAATAAAGCGTTGCTTTCATGACACTGAAGTTTTCGAGGAAGTTGGCTGGTTAGTCATAGAATTTGTTTCAGTACAATAGTTAAAAAAAATATTTTCAAGTACTAGTATTAATCCAACAAAATATATTGCCCTCACATTCCAACAATGCATTATCGCTTCAAAGTTCAGGTACTTTTAAGAAATTCTGCGGCAGGGGCGGACAGCAGCATAGGAAGTTAATGATTCAGTGAAAACAGATAATCTAATAAGAAAACTCAAACTCGTCATCGCACATCAATAATATAATATGAATATAATTTACATAATTAATTTCTAACACATGAACGTTAGACAACCCTGTCACATGATCTGCCTGTTGTGTGACCCGGTCCACAAACTCGTACTTACTTAACACGACTCGTTTAATAACACATCCTGCACATGTCACGTGATTAAGTCAATGAATTCTGCACTGGTCATGTGAATAATAACTGCGCATGATGGTAAACTGTAACAAAGAAATCAGGAGTATACGTTTTTACTTACTAGCGTCACAGTCAACTCAACACTCCGTGTTCGATATGGGTCACGTGACGCATACAACGCATGTAAACACACTGTTGTTTTTTTACACGAAATTCGAAAACTGCATGTACACGACGACTGTCGCGGATTAATGATACTTCAGTCACTAATCTAGATCTACTAATCTATATTCTCTAATATATATGAATCTAGACTTGTGAACAATGCAGTTAGGACTACGGGCACTAGTGTACCCAAATATACTATCCAGCATATTAAATACCTATTACAATGTAATCGTTCAAACGAAAATTAATACGTCAACTTTTTGTCAACTCCTATGTTTTACAAAAAAAGAAAGAAAAGAAAAACTCAATAGTAAATCATATTAATTTGGTCCAAAATAAAAAAATACATAAAAACGTGCAAATGTTTTTGTAAAAGTTCTGGTGGGAAATATGAGTTCAGAGTGTTTAAGTATGTACTTTGAAATCGTAAGAAATTGTAGCACCCAGCAGCAGCACACCACTCAATGGTTGAAGAACCGTGACCCGCATCAAAATAAACAGCACATACACTTGTATTCTTAATGTATTGGGCAAGCTTATCTTTGATAATCCCACGTTTGTTATTAAGGTATGTGCGCTTGTAATCTAGTGATGTCACTATATGCGCCGAACATTGTCCAAAACAAAGTCTGAAAGCCGCAGAACTATGCAAAATGTCAATATACTTAATTAACTGCAGGGTTCGTAGTCCGTACTTTATATTGCGGTCTCACATCATGGATTCGCTGAAATTGTACGCCGTCCTTCGCTTGTCGTCCAAGTCTCACAGATTCACGCGTGACTTGAGTCTTTGTCCCCGCCAAGGTTTAATGCCTTTACCCGGAAGGTGCCTTCAGAATCAATGGATCCATGAAAAATACGTCTATAAAAAAAGTAAATCAGTATAATATAAACAAAATAAAAGTTAAAGAAAGCTATATGAATGATGCGAAAAATGTTTAAATAAGCGCCCACGACAAGCATATTTTGTTCCCGACAACTAGTGATTGCGCCTGCTCTGGCCAAATGATTTCAAACATTTTACTTTCGTTTTCCGACAAATACGTCTGAAATGAATATCATAGTATGGTGGTACGTCACAAAACGCCACATTACTTATATCCACACACCATTTTACGTCACATAAGCGCTTCTCACTAGAGGGCGCAAAACGTTACCATAACATGTGGTTGATATTGTGTTAACGTGCTGACGTGCTAACGCGCTGCACGGCGGTGACAAATCATGGAACCTCTTTTACCCATAGTCCAGGTGCCCCCCATTTCATTTGA